CGAGCCGGCTTGCCGGAGGGCACATAGCCTGGCAGCCTGCAGAACTGGGAGGGGTCCTTGTAGGAACTCAGGGGGCAGGCTGTGTCCGCATCCCCGCAGGGAATCAGACGCAGCCCCCATCCCGAAGGAACAGCCCTGGGTTCCTGCGGTAGTCATTCCTTCCTCAGCACGAGGTTGAGCTCCTGCTCTGGGCCCTGTGTAGGGCACCCCGCCTCCTAATCCAGGGTCTTCTCCTCTACCTCCAGCTGCGGCCATCCATTAGCTGTGTGGCTTAGAGAATCAGTTCACCTTTCTGTGCCTTCGTTTCCCCGTCTGACAAATGGGCTTAATGGCAGTCTCCACATCATAGGCTTATTTTAAGAATCAAGTGAGGCATTGTGCAGGACCTTCTCAGCAATACCACCATATAGCAAGCTCTCTATGAATGTTATTTTATTATAATTGGTATCAACCCAAAGAGGAATGGAACTGACAGCCCCATTCTCTAGATAGGAAAACTGAGATTCAGAGGAAGGAAGTAAAGTCCGCCAGGCCACAGGAGGGTGCCACAGCCAGAGGTTCCTGGGGCACATCCCTCTTCCCGGATGGGGAAGCTGTCCCCTTCTAGGCAGTTTTCTCATCTGTGCATATTGTCAAGGAGACAGTTCCATCACATCATACCAATGTGGCTCCTCACTCAGGAGCCACCCTAGGGTGGGGGTCGGGGGGTAGCTAGGGGCTCCTGTTCTGCCTGGGTGGGCGGGACCGTGCCCTGCGTACTTTGTGCCTGAGGTATGCCAAGCCCCTGAGGCTAGGCCTGGTTAGGAGGCTGAATGAGGCCTCTGGGTGCCCCGCGGCTGCTGTCACCCAGGTGACTTCCCAAATCCCCTGGTCCCTCTGCCTCCTCTGCTGTGGGCCTTGGGCACATGGCTTCTCTTTTTGAACCTCAGTTTCCTCATCTATGAGATGGGTCCCAGAGTCCTTCCCTGAGAGGGGATGTTGGGAAGACGTGATAAGCTCATTCTGCTCAAACGGCTGCCGATGCCAGGCTTATAGAAAGTGCCCGGTCAGTGCTCCAGGTATGAGGATGGCAGGATTCTGACCGGAAGAAGGGACATAACAGCATTCCAAGCAGAGCGTCCATGTGAGCCAAGGCTTGGAGGTGGACAGTGTAGGGAACGCCCTGTAGCTGGGTGGAAGTAAGTGCGAGAGGACCCGCCACCTTCCAGAACCTGGGCTGACCCTGACAGAGGTGGTCGGGGTATCAGTGGCGGTGGCTGTGAGGTTGACCTCCCTGCCCTCCAAACTGAAGGTTTCCTTTCTATCCTTGCGAGCGGCCACCTGCCCTCCCCACCCCCATCCCTGCCAGGTGTTCCCGAAGGCCCTGGAACCAGATGAGCCACAGTTCTATTTGGGGACAATTCTGCTGTTCCTGTTTCTTTCCTGTGCCCTAGTTTTAGAAACGACGTGGGTTTGGTTACCAGTTGGCCATTTGCAGAGAGGCCCCCCCACTCTGCCCATACCTTAGGTCTGTGGGCAAAACCGGGCTCCGCGCTGCCATGGGCACTTGGTCCTGGCCTCTGCCCCTGGGTTCTCCGGGCGGGGAGTGGGCTCCTGGGCTCTCAGTTACCTGCTGGTGATGTCTGGTCCTTCTGCTGGGTACTAGGGATCCCAGAGGTGCACTCTGGGAGCAGCCTGCACAGTGGGGGGGCCAGACACAGACCCCGGTCATTGCCCTGCCATGGGTAGGTGCCGTGTGAACTGTGGCAGTCCATTCCAATGCCAGAAGGGCTTCTCAGAGGAGGTGGCACCTGGCCTGAGATGTAAAGGGTGAGCTGGAGCTCAGGAGGGAAAAAGAAGAGCGAGGGCTTGCCAGGGAGGATGGGCAGGAGGGGCAAAGATTTGGAGGTAGGGAGTGGTCTGGAATGTGCAGGCACAGCCTGGGACGAGGGGTGCAGTTAGAAGGTGACTAGGTCGACTGGGCAAGGCCATAGGGCCCCAAGCCCTTGCCAGGGCTGCTGGGAGCAGGGCGGGCCTCCTGCTGAAGGTGGGAAGAGAGGACAAAGAGAAGGATCAGACTGGGCTCAGATGCTCAATTACTCTTGCCAGGTGAAGGCAGCCCACAGAGGCTGGGGTTCCAGATGAGGATCAAGAACCCCTCTTTGGGGCAGAAGGTAGGTGCTGGTCTGGAGCTTTGGAGGGAGTGGTTCAGGGAAGACTTCCTGGAGGAAGAGGTACATGTGACATACGTGGAAGGATGGGATGATTCTGTGCAGGGAGGTGGAGCTTGAGCAAGGGCCTGAAGGCATGGCAGGAGCAGCTCCTCTGGTTGGAGCTCTGAGGAGTGAGGAGCGGCAGGGATTTGACCGGAGAGGTGACTAGTGCCCATCAGCAGAGGGTCTTGAGTGCCTGCTCAGGGGGCCTACATGCTGTCCTGGGGCGGAGAGGAGAGACTGCCAGGTAGGACTGATTTATCCAGCGCTGTGGGCAGGGTAGCCGCCCCTCTGGCAGTGTGGTTTTGGTGAGGTGGCCATGGGGGCTGCATGGAGAGCAGACAGATGGGCCTGGAAAGAAGGTGGGTGCCAGCCAGCCAGGCATGCGCAGGTCTGGGATTGAAAGGGGAGCAGTGGGGTGAGGGCCTCTTCCCCTTGGTGTGTCTGCCAGTATATCTTTTCCCTGCAGATTCTCGGTCTGGCAGGAAGTGACAGGGACTTGTTGGGGCTTGGCTGGCAGATTCCAAAAGTGCCTGGGCTATGGGCTGGGCGTGGGACAAGGGCTTCAGGTTTGGGCCCGGCCTCCCTCCCTTGTTAGGTAGCCTCACCAGGGCAAGGGGCTCCCTGTCAGGGTGAAGGCAGGGTTGCCCACTTGTGCCTCCACAAAGGCCCCTCTACCCTTTTGAACCCAGAGGGCCTGTGCTCCAGACATGGCGAGCTGAGAGCTGTAGCTGAAGAGTTGGGTGCCAGATGGGCCTGGATTTGAATCACAGGTTTGTTCTTTGCTGGCTGGGAGATCTTGGCCAAGTAACTTTGTCCTTCTGAGCCTCAGTTTCCCCATCTGCAGAAATGGGGGTCACCCCAGGACCTTGCTCCTAAGGCTCCTAGGGAGGATTAATAAGATTTTAGAGGGCTGTGCCCAGTACCATGCCTGCTCCTGTGATCGGGCTTTGGAGCTATCGGTCCAGTTTATTGCGGGTTCTGGGACATGCTGAGTGGCTGAGGGTGGCTTCCGGTCTGCCCCAGGCTCTCAGCACTGAGGACAAAGCCCCTTTGTGGTGGGACAGATGGAGCCCAGAAACCCCCCCCTCTTTGGGGACTAGGGGGCCTCCTGCCCCTCCTCCTCACCCAGTTCCCCTGGGGGAAGGAGCTTCCTCAGACTGGGAGGATGGGAAATGAAAGCCGGGTTGTGCAGGAGTGCCCGGGCTCTCTGCAGCTGCTCAGGCCAGAGCCTGGCTGATGAACTTGGGAAGGCCATTCCCTTCTCTGGACCACCTTCTCAGGGCCACGGCATGTCTGGCAAGTCTCAGGCCTACTGTGTGTGCTTTGTTCATTTATCCATCCATCCACCTACCCACCCACCCACCCATCACCCATCACCCCATCCACCCATCACGCCATCCACCCATCACCCATCACCCCATCCACCCATCACGCCATCCACCCATCACCCCATCCATCCATCCACTCACCCATCCATCCATCTGTCCACCCACCCATCCATCTACCCATCACCCCATCCATTCATCCACTCACCCACCCACCCATCGACCCACCCATCCACCCATCGCCCCATCCCTCCATCCACCCATCCGTTTGTTCATTCATTCATTCATTCATTCATTCATTCATTCCCAAGTACTCACTCCATGCTAGGCCCTGTGCTCTTGGCCAGTGTCCATCCTGACCAGATGGTGCCTAAGCATCCCAGCTGTTAACTATTTCGAATATTACACCCACTACAAACTATTCATCTGAGAGTGTGACAGAAGTGGCCCCTGACCTTATCAGACATGTACTCACGCAGTGTGTATCAGCACTATGGTCCGTGCTAGGAAGGAAAAGTTGAAGGTTCTCACTTGGGCTGGGGGAGGTCAGAAAGGCCTTCTGTGAGGAGGTAGCTTTTAAAATGGGACTTATAGAGCAGAGCTGTCTGGGTGTGTTGGCCTTTAGACAGGTGGTCAGGAAAGGCCTCTCTGAGTAGGCGTGAGGCATCAGGTGTATCGATATCCAGGGGAAGTGGGGAAGTGTGTGCTGGCGGGGGGAGGGGGGGAACAGCACGTACAAAGGCCCTGAGGCAGGGGTGTACTGGATCCTCAGGGAAAGGAGAAGCAGCTGGTCTGGAAGCAGAATGAGCAAAGGGGGCGGGGCTGGTAAAGTCCACTGTAAGGCCTCGGAGGCCCCTGAGAGGACTTTGTCCTTAGTCTTGGAGTGTAGGGGCTGTGAGGCAAATTAAGCAGGAATGACCGGTTCAGATTGACATTTCAGAAAGGCTCTCTGACCCCAATTGGCCAGCCTGGAGGAAGAGGCTGGGCCTAGGCTAGAGGGTGGTGGCGGTGGGAGGGGAGGGAGGGGATTCAGGCTGTGCTTGGAGATGGGACTGGCAGGTTTGGGACTGGGTTCCATGGGAGATGTGAGAAATCACCCTTCCTCTCTGGGGCTGCTGGTAGTGAGGGGCCGAGGCCCTGCCGCAGACCTCTGTGGGATTCAGGTTCATGTCTGTCCCCTGCCCCCCCTCACCCCCAGCTCCCTAATCCGTCTAGAGGCACACAGGCCCAGCAGCTTCTCCACCTTGTCCTGAGGGCTGGACTGAGTCCTCCAGTTCCTGCGGCTTTAAGCAATGGTATACCTTAGGTGACACTCTCAGAATCCTTCCGATTTCACAGATGAGAAAACTGAGTAACTGTCCCTACCTCACAGCGCTGCAGGAGAGACCAGATGGAACAGTGCATGTAGAGCGCCAATGCCAGGCTTCCAGGTGTTCAGTAATCAGCAGGTACTATTGCTGTTTCTGTGGGGAGTAAGGGCATGTATGCGAGCCTGGTCTCTGGCCCTGTCCACTGTGAGAGCTGGGCTTCGGGGTAGGGCTGGAGTTGCTGAGTGGCCGCTTCTAGATAACTTAGCACCTTGGGATAGAAGGTACCTGGAACTGAAGCCGAACGCCACTTTCCACTTGGGGAAACTGAGTCCAAAAGGGCACAAGATTGGCTCAGGGCTACACAGTACTCGGGACAGAGCAGGGTTTTTACCAGGCCTCCTGCTGCTTTGTCCTGCTCCAGTGCCCCCACGTCTGGGGCTTGCCCTTCCCTCTAAGGCTTCCAGACTGTGGGCTGGGTCCTGGCAAGAAGGGACCATGCCGTCTACCATGTATCAGGACCTTGAGGCTGGAAAAGGGTCCCCTTCCTGCCCGGGAAGAAACGTAAGAGCTTTCAGGGGCTGGAACAGTACCGTCTCTATAGGACTGGAATTGGTGGGAGTTCCACGGCCCCCTTGCTTAGCCTTCGCCCTCTCCAGGCTGCGGGTCTGGTCCCTGGCACACCCCTCTATCCCTCTGCCAATGCCAGCTGGAGCCTGCAGCGTCCCGGCCCCGCCCCAGCCACACTGGCAGAGCCGGTTTGAGGCCTGTCAGCCCTTAGCGTGTTTGCAGCGTGAACATGGGACCAGACACGTTCTGGCTGCACTGGCCCACAGACGGCCCCCGGCTCACTCGTCACTCACTCTTGCTCATTCAGCAAACATCCCCTGGTACCTGGTGCGTGTCCCAGCTCCTGCTGGCGGGGCTCGGGGCCTGGAGTTGTCTCGGACTTGCACGCCACTCTGTGTATGTGCGGGTGGTCAGAGGCTCTGCCACCTGGGCATGCTGAGCAGTGGCAGGTGAGCACAGTGGTCAGGGCATAGGCTGTGGTGGGGCTGGGCAGACCCAGGCCTGAGGCCTGACCTCTTCAGTGTGAGTAGGACCCATTGATCCCTCCCTGCATCCCTCCCTCCCTCTGTCCTTCCTGCCATCGGTTCTTTCTCCCCCTCCCTCCTTTCCACAAATATTTCCTGAGCCCTCCTATATGCCAGACAATGTTCTAGAGCAGGGGGCCACCCTGGAAGAAGAAGAGTTGTCTTGGGCCACACGTAAAATGCATTGTGATGTTGAATCACAAAAAAAATCTCATAATGTTTTAAGTAAATCTACGATTTTGTGTGGGGCTGCATTTGTAGCCATCCTGCGCCGCATGTGGCCTGTGGGCCGTGGGTTGGACACCCCGGTTCTAGAGGCTGAAGATACAGCAAAGTACCAATCAGACAAAAGTCCCAGCTCTTGCAAAGCTGGCATTCTAGGTGGGGAGACATAAACACAGCAAATAAGGAAACTGTGCACACGGTCTGTAGGAGAGTGACAAGTGCCACAGATCAAATGTAAACCAGGGAAGGGGTTGGAATGCTGGCTGGGGCATGGAGAAGGGACTGTAATTAGATAGTGCGCGCTGGGAAGAAAGACGCCTCCCAGAAGCTCACATCCAAGGAGGGGGGGCAGACTGTTGTTGCTCCCTGGGGGAAGGGAATGTGGGGAGAGGGGACAGCCAGTTCTAAGACCCTAAGGCAGGGCGGTGCTGGAGGGTAGGAATCTAGGAGAAACAGGGAACAGAATGGTGAGGAGTAGAATGGAAGGAGAAAAGGGCAGAAAGATTGAGGGGCCCATTAGGGAGGGCCTCTGGAACATTCTGACGTTGGCTTTTGACTCTGAGTGAGGCGGGGGCCATGGGACCGTTCAGAGCGCATCTGGCTGCCGTGTGGAGAACAGACTGGGCTGGGGTGAGGGCGGAGGCAGGTGGATTGCTGCTTGCATCCCGCGGGCGGAGGGGGCGATGCTGATTTGCCCAGGCTGGGGCAGTTGGTGGGAAGGGGAAGGGGACCAAACATTGTTTTTGCATTATTTCATTTAATCATTTTTTTAAAAGTCTTTATTATGGAGGCATATTAGTAAAATGATCCCCCACAAACCCCTCACTGGGCCCCAACACCACTACCCTATGGCCTCTCCTGCTCACTCTGCACCCTTTCTGCCCCCCCCATCCTGTGCCATTTTAAAGCAAATCCCGCATGTCATATTTCATGTGTAAATCTAAAAGATAAGGACTCATGTTAAGAAAGTAGCCCCCAAACCGTAATCCATCTAAAAGAAATGAACAATATGTCTTTAATGTCAGCAAAAATCCCCTTCTCCCCCAGATATATTTTGAGGTACGCCTGGACCTCTCCCTCTTTACCACAATGTGAACTTCACAAAAGACCCCCCTCCCAGGCTCTTGTGAGAGAACCCAGGTAGGATGCTGAGCACAGGGCCTGGTGTGCATACAGTAGGCACTCAACAAATAACAGCTGCTACTATTATGGATTGATGGCAAACACTTATGGAACATTTCCTAGGATCTGGGCTCTGTTATAAGTTTTTCATGAATATGAATTCATTTAAACCTCACAACAATCCTTGGATATAGGTTATTATTTTTATCTCTATTTTATAGGTGAGGAAACAGAGGCACAGAGAGGTGGAATAACTTCCCCGAGATCACACAGCTACAAAGGCCCAGAGCCGGGTTTTGAATCTAGGCAGTTCTGCTCTTAATCCCCATGTGATGGGGGCTGTGTGAGCCCAGAAAAAAAGGGGTACCGTTCTCAGTTGGTGGGCGGGCAAGGTCAGGCATTGCCTGTGGTCAGACAATAGTGTGCTGGAGTTCATGGGGAGGTGGGGACACAGTGGCAGGGGAGGCAGGTCCTGAAGCTTCGGGGGAGGGATTAGCATGTGCAAAGATCTGGAGGCTGGAGAGTAATTATGAGATGAAGGAAGGGTCAAGGGGCAGAGAGGAGAGAGCATGCAGCGGCCCTCCTTCATCCTTGGCCTTGACCTTGTGAGCAGCAGGCAGGAGTTTTTTAAGGGTTTTGGCCATCTTGTTGACCACTGTCCCCAGCCTCAGGCTCAGATGCCTTCTTCCTCAGAGATCAGCCAGAGACCTTCTTACATGGATGAATAAAGGGAGGGCTGGGTCTTCCCAAGGTCACACATCCAGGCCACCTGTGGGTTTTAGTGTGGGGGGAGGGGAGGTTGAGCTCAGCCTGATTGTGTGGAGGGGCCTGGCCACCAGGTGCTCCTGCCTACCAGTGTCCCTGAAGGGAGTTACTGTATGCGTGTGGGTGAGGAGGAAGGGGCACTGTGTGTTCTCAGAACAGAGACGCAGCCACAGCTGCTGGCAGGAAATAGCGGGCACCGTGGGCAGGGGCCGGCTGGTGACTGTCCCCCAAGGCCCATCAGCCGTCAGCTAGTGGGGGTGCGGCAGCTGGGAGGCCCCGGGGGAGATGACCTTGGGTAAGGTGGGAGAGAACAAAACAAGTCACTTCATTGTTCCCTGTGGTCACCCCCTGATACTGGGGGCCGCTGAGGAGTCCTTGGCAAGCCGCGGCCTCTGTCCAGGTGCGGACGCTGAGGCCTGAGAGGAGGCATGAGCTCCCTGGGTTGATTCCGGCGGGGGCCTTCCACTCAGCCATGGGGTGGGTGGCCCTCATCAGGCCAGGCCAGGCGGTACCTGGCTGGGTTCCTGAGACCGGCCTGCCTGGTCTGAGGGTTTGAGGCCAGCACCTCCTCGCCCAGCCCCATCACAGCCCAGGACTCTTGAGCCTGGTGCTCTGAGAATCTTATCTTTAGTCCCGCTGCCCACACCCTCATTCGAGGTCTGGCCTTTGCCTTGCTGTGTGACCTGGGGCTGGGCACACCCCTCTCAGACCTTCTCATGCCTGTTCCAAAGTCCAGCAGTGACCCAGTTAGGCTGGGACCCACTTAGTCCAGATCTCTCACTTGATAACTCCCTGCACGTGTACCTTTCCCACCTCAGGGCCTTTGCACATGCTGTGCCCACCTCCTGGGTTGCCCTCCCCATGCCTCCTTGCAGGTGCGGTGGACAGAGGATGGGCTTTGGCATCACTAGGGTCTGGGCTGGCATCCTGGCTCTGCACTGCCTGACTGTGGCAGCTCCCTGGAGCCCCCTGGTCCTCAGTGTAAAGTGCGCCTGGCCACAGCTTGCTCCAGGGTTGTTGGGAGCACTGAGGGGGTGGCATAACCCCTTGCTGGGAAGACATGAGGGGGGAAGTTTAAGTCTCAACACCCCCATGAGCGCGCCCCATTCCACCCTGCCAGCCTGCACCGGAGCAGCGCACAGCACTGAGTCTGGGGAAGGGGGCTAAGCAGTCCCTGGACCCTACCAAGAAAGGCCCAGCCTCAGCCTTCTTCCTTGGCCCTTTCCAGGGGCCCTGGGTATCAGCCCCTCTTTAGGGAGGGACTTGTCACTCAGCTGCTGAGAGGTGGGATTTTAATCACATCATTTAACCTGTCCATGCTTCAGTTTCTCCCATCTGTAAAATAGGGTAATAGGAATGGTACATAGTAGGTACTAAATAAATATTAGCTATTACTACTGTCATTACTCATATCCCCCCGCTTTGAGGCAGGAGTCCTTTCTATATTAAAAAGCCATCTATTGACTCCTCCCACCGACCATAGCTCCTCTGACTAGGGTTGTCGCATCCTCTTTTGCTATGACAGCTATCACCAGTCATTGGTCTCCTCCTTCTACGGGGGCCTGGGTGGCAGCACCATGGGCTTCGGAGCAAGAGGCACCTACTGCGCGCCCCGCATCCGTCGGGTGTGTCGGTGTCCTCCACCCGCTTCGTCCTCCTCTGTGGGCTACTGGGCAGCTGTGTGCATGCCCTGGCTGGGTCTGACAGGCTTCTGGAGGGCAACGAGAAGGTGACCATGCAGAACCTCAGTGACCGCCTGGCCTCCTACCTGGAGAAGGTGCGTGCCCTGGCTGCAGCCAGCGGGGACCTGGAGGCGAAGATCCATGACTGGTACCAGAAGCAAGGGCCTGGGCCTGCCTGCAACTACAGCCACTGCTGCCAGACCACTGAGGAGCTGCGGGACAAGATTCTTGTCACCATTGGGAGCGCTGAGATTGTCCTGCAGATCACCAGTGCCCGCCTGGCTGCAGATGATTCCGAACCAAGTTCGAGATGGAGCAGGCCCTGCGCAGGAGTGTGGAGGGGACATCGAGGGTCTGCCCAAGGAGCTGACCTGGCCAGGGCCCATCTGGAGATGCAGGTCGAAGGCCTGAAGCAGGGGTTTCCAACCTTTTGGCATCTTGGGCTACACTGGAAGAAAAAGAGTCATCTTGGGACACACATTAAGTACACAAACACTAACAAAAACTGATGAGCCAATAAAAGGGTCCGAGCATAATTTTTGTGATACCCGCTACCACAGATAAGCAAAAATTCCTCATAATAACCCTAGTTATGCAGCGGCCCTTTTGATAATCTTTTAAAATCATCAAGCAGATCCCAAGTTTGTGATCACTGATATAGAAAATGTACATATCTAAGTAATAAAACTAAGCAATGTTTTAAGTAAATATATGATTTTGTGTTAGGCCTCATCCTGGGCCACATGAGGTCCACAGGCCGAAGGTTGGACGCCCCGGCCTGAAGGAAGAGGTGGCCTACCTGAAGAAGAACCACAAGAAGGAAATCAGTGCCCTGAAGGGCCAGGTGGGTGGCCAGGTTGGTGTGGAGGTGGATTCTGCTCCTGGCATTGACCTTGCCAAGATCCTGAGTGATAGGACAAGCCAATATGAGGTCATGGCTGAGAAGAAGCAGAGGGACGCGAAATCCTGGTTCACCAGCCAGACTGAGGTGCTAAAGTGGGAGGTCGCTAGCCACATGGAGCAACTGCATATTAGCAAGACGGAGGTCGCTGACCTCTTCCACAGCCTGCAGGGGCTGGAGACGGAGCTGCAGTCCCTGCTCAGCATGAAAGTTGCCCTGGAAGGCATGCTGGCGGAAACGGAGGCTTGCTTTGGAGCCCAGCTGGCGCAGGGCCACACACTGATCAGCAGCACCGAAGCCCAGCTGAGTGATATTCGTGCTGACACTGACCAGCAGAACCTGGAGTACCAGCAGCTCCTGGACATCAACACGCCGCTGGAACAGACTGCCCCCTACTGCAGCCTCCTTGCAGGCCAGGATGCCGGCTACAACAACCTGCCCACCAGCAAGACAGCCTGAGTGCAGCCGCCTCTGGGCTTCCTGCTTCCAGCAGAGGCATGGGTGCTCCTGGGTAGGGGCATGGGAGGGGAGGGACCCTCACCCCTGGCTCCTCCTCTGACCTGTCAGTAAAATTTTATGCTCCGCCCTCCACGTCCCCCCCCCCCGCCCCACCGCCAAAAGGCACCTGTAGAAAAAAACACCCCAGTTGAGGAATTCTTTTGAGAGTCCGAAGGAAGGAGGGAATCAGGTAAAGATCATTGCCCATGGGGAGTGTCCCTTCTTGTATGGGAAGTCACATGGGAGGCAAGAAAGGGACGCAGCCCCGATCTGTGAAATGGGCACATGGGGCAGTGCTCTCATCCACGTGGCCTCAGCCCAGCTTGCTCCTCTGTGGATGGGTCCAGTGCTGGCAGTACCTGCCCCGCAGGGCTGTGGTGAGGAAGGATGGGACATCGCGGGGGGGGCCTCAGTCTTGGAAGTCTAGAGGCGTCATGCGTTCGCTCCATGAGTGGCCCCTCTGCTGTGGGACCTTGGGCCAGCGACTCTCCCTGCCCTGGCCTCCATTTCCCCGTATGGAAAATGGACTGGCCAAGGGGCCCTGTGTAGTCCCTCGCATAAGGACACCCAGCGAGAGCCTGCTGGGACCAGGGGCCTTGGGAGAGGGGCTGACAGTGGCCTGGGGCCAGGAGGACCAGGATTCCCAGCAGGCTCTCTGCTGTCTTGGATGGTGCCCGGGGCACCTGGTTGCCTTTCTCAGCCTCTCTGGCTGGTTGTCCCTGTGTAGCAGGGTCCTGGTAGGAGCTGGAGACCTGAACAGTGGCAGTGGAAATAATAATGTTAGCAGCAATATCAAGGGCCCACTCATCAAGCATGGCCTGTGTGCCAGGGCTTTGCATGGGTGAGCTCGTTGGCCTTTGCAACTGCCTGGGTATGACTGTGGGCGTCTCCATGGTACTGAAGGAGGTTTCCGTCAGCTTTCCCAGACTCCTCCCATGGGTCACAGCAGGGACCCCCCCACACCCCGCCCCAACCATGATGCTATACCCCACCTAGCAGTGCTCTTCCCTACCTGGCTTGGACAGGTGACTGATGTGGACTTCCCGTTCCCCTCTCTCCAGAGCCAGGACAATGGCTGCCAACGGGCCGTGTCCACCCCCACAGCCTCCTCCCCCCCTCCAAACATTCCTGCCACAACCTCCACCACCCACTCTTCCCACCCCTGTTGGGCCGTTGTTATCAGGAGACATTCCTGGGCTGGCTGAGAACACCTTCCACCTGGGCCCTGCTGAGAGGGGGTGTGATCACTGATACAGGCCTTGCCAGTGGCTCCGTGGGGGGATGGGCCCAGGGGCACAAGGCTTCAAAGCCCAGACAACCTGAGCCTGCTTGGTGATGTTGTCTCTTGCGAACTGGGTGACCTTAGGCAATCGGCTTGACCTCTGCGCCTCAGTTTCGTCTTCTGCAAGTGGGGCTGTCCACGTGGGGCCGCAGTGGGTTCGCGTGGGCTCGTGCGTGTTGTGCGTTCCTTCGCGTGGTGCCTGGCACATGGGAGTCTCCCTCCTCATCAACCAGCCGTTGCCCCTCCTCTTCGTGGGTCCGCAGTTTAGACGGCATCCGTACCTACCTTCTGCTGAGTGCACTTCGGGAGGACCCCTGTGGGCTTTCTCTTCTCTGGCCTTTGGGACTAGGAGAGGGCAGAGCTGGGAGAGGCTGTTCTCAGAAGTTGAGAACCTGCTCTGTGACCTCAGCCAGCACCTCTCCGTCTCCGAGCCTCCTTTTCCTGGTCTCCTCTGTGAGCACTTGGACCCCGCTGAGGCCCTAGACCCCGCCCTCATTGTCCCAGTCACTGCACTCTGTCCTTCCTCCCTTGACAGATCCAGCCACTCCGTCTTTTCTTTGTCTTTCCCATTATGGTGCCTGGCACACAGTAGGTACTCAGCTAAGCTTTGTTGAAGGAGCCAATCAGTGCACAATGATTGAGTGATACCTAGGGCTTCCCTACTTCCAGGCCCTTTGCCAGGAGCACCATACCCCGTCATCATCTCAACTTGTGGAACCCCTTGTCCTTGAGGCCGCCTCTTCCAGGAAGCCTCTCCCAGTGTCTGCCAAGTTGGAGGGAATTGCTGGTGCTCTGAATGCTTGGTCTGAGACTCTCTGATGGCACCTGTTAGAGTCCACCCTTGGTATACATAATGCCATATGAATAAACCAGCTGGAGCTGTGCACTTACTAGGAGCCACGCTCAGTGGGGAGCCCTGGGCCTGTGGTGTCTTATTTAATCCTCCACAACAGCCTTGCAAGGTAGAGCTTATTATTATCCCTCCCTTTGCAGAATTCAGAGGCTCAGAGAAGTGAAGTAATTGCCCCACAATGAGAGAACAAGCCAGGATTTGAAACCAGGTAAGCCTCTATTTTTTCTTGAAAAGGAAAGAAAATACATTAATACACACACAGTAAAAAAAATAATTCAAACAGTACAAAAGAAGACAGGGGAAAGTAAGTTTCTCTTGCGCTCAGGTCTCCTTCCTGGAGGCATCCACTTAGAGGCGTTTCTGGTGTATTCTTTGAGGGAGATCCAGGCATATATAAGCATATATGTCAGAAAAATTTTTAAAAAATGGTAGCACATTGTATACCCTGTTCTATACCTATGTCCTGTTGACAGTATACCTTGGAGATCATTTTGTGCTGCTGCTTTCTTCATCATGGTTGTGTAGTATTCACTGTGTGCATGGAGAACAGGCTTTATTTAATTATCAAGGAATATTTTGGTGGTTTCCAACCTTTGCTTATCGGAGACAGTTCTGCAATGAATAACCCCGTCATGTGCTTAGCGTTCATATGTGAGAATACCCTTAGGATTAAGGCCAAGTTGCAGGTCATAGGGTGTGTGCAGTTGTCATTTTGATGTATACTTTGCCAGATCGTCCCTCAGGGAGGCTACACTGAAGGACCCTCACGCCATACCCCCCGGTTCATCTCACACTCACCAACATAAGTTGCCAAAGAATTTTGGGATCTTTGCCAATCTAATAGATGAACGGTGGCCTCTAGTGTAGTTTTTTTTTCCAATATATTATTTTATTAAAATTTTTTAAAAATTGAATTTATTGGGGTGACATTGGTTAATAAAACCATAGAGATTTCAAGTGTACGACGTTGTAACACATCATCTGCACACTGCATCTTGCCCTCACCACCGAGTTGTTTTTGATGTGGTCTTTTGGGTATGGCTTCTTTCACTTAGCATAATGTCTTCAAGGTTAATTCATGGTGTGGCGTGTATCAGTACTTCATTTGATTGTATCTATCCTGCTGGATGTGAAGTTGCATCTCTTTGTGGTTTTGATTGGCATTTCCCTAATGATGAATGATACTGAGCATTTTCTCATGCAGTCATTAGTCATTGGAATATCTTCTCTGGAGAAATGTCTATTCAAATCCTTTGCTCATTTTTAATTGGGTCGTTTGTCTTTTTGTTTTTGAGTTACAAGAGTTCTTTATATATTCTGGATACAAGTTCCTTATCAGATATGTGGGTTGCAAATATTTTCTCCCATTCTGTGGATTCTTTTTTATTTTTAAAGATTTTATTTACTTATTTATATACTTTTTAGAGAGGGGAAGGGAGGGAGAAAGAGGCAGAGAGAAACATCAATGTGAGAGAGAAACATATTGAGCAGTTGCCTCTCCTACACATCCTCTCTGGGGACCGAACGCACAACACAGGTATGTGTCCTGTCCAAGAATTGAACCAGCTACCTTTTGGTTTGCAGGATGATACCCAACCAACTGAGCCATACTGGTCAGGTCTCTGTGGATTCTTTTTATTTTCTTCATTGTGTCCTTTGGAATGCATACACTTTTAATGCTGATTAAGTCCAGTTTATCTTTTGTTGCTTGTGCACCAAGAAACCATTGTGCACCATGGATGTGAAATTGATGCTTATATGTTCTTATAAGAATTTTAAAAGTTTTACCTTGTATGTTAGATTTGTGATCTATTTTGACTAAATTGCTGTGTAGAGTTTGAAGAAGGAGTCCAGCTTCCTTGTTTTGCATGTGGATATCCAGTTGTTCCTACACCACTTGTTCAAAAGATTCTTCTTTCCCAATAGAATTGTATAGGCACCCTTGTCAAAAATCATTGTAAATGTAAGGTAGTTTATTTCTGACCTCTAAATTCTGTCCATTGACGTATAAGTCTGTCCTCATACCAGTACCACATCGTCTTTTATTTTTATTCTATTTTTTTCCATTGCCATTTAATCCTCTTACACCCCTGTCTCCCTGCAATCGCCACACTGTGGTCCATGTCCATGAGTCCTTTTTCCTTTTTGCTCAATCTCTCTACCCTCTAACCTCCCCTCCCCGCCTTAGCTGTCATCCTGTTCCCTATCTATGAGTCTCCGTTTTCGTTGTTAGTTCAGTATGTTCATCAGATTCCACATAGGAGTGAAATCATATGGTATTTGTCTTTCTCTGACTGGCTTATTTCACTTAGCATAATGTTCTCCAGGTCCATCCATACTGTCTCAAAGGCTAAAATTTTCTTCTTTTTTTATAGCCGAGTTGTATTCCACTGTGTAAATGTCCCATAGTTGTTTTATCCACTCATCTAGTGACGGATGCTTGGGCTGTTTCCATATCTTGGCAATTGTAAATAACACTGCAGTGAGCATAGGGGTGCTTATGTTCTTTTGAGTACCACATAGTCTTTTTATTTTTTTAAGATTTTAATTATTTATTTATTTTTAGAAAGAGGGGACGGGAGGGAGAAGGAGAGAAACATCGATGTGTAAGAGAAACATCAATAGGTTGCCTCACACATATTCCTAACTGGGGACCTGGCCTACAACCCAGGCATGTGCCCTCACTGGGAATTGAACCAGTGACCTTTTTGTTCTCAAGGTGGCACTCAATCCCCTGAACCAGGACCGCATAGTCCTGAACACTTTGCAGCAAGCTTCTTTTTTTTTTCTACATAATCTTTTTTCTTTTTTTAAATTCTCACCCGAGGACTATTTTTTAAATTGCTTGGCGAGAGAGAGATAGAAACAGAGAAACATCGATTGGTTGCCTTCTCAGATGTGTCCCTACAGGGGATCCAACCCTCAACCTAGGTATATGCCCTGACCTGGAATTGAACCTGCAGCCTTTCAGTCTACAGGATGATGCTCCAGACAACTGAAACGACACTGGCCAGGGCACAGCAAGTTTTGAAACTGAGAAGTGTTGTTTTTCTTTTTCAAGATTTGTTGGGCTATCCTGAATTCTTAACTTTCTATATGAATTTTAGGATCAGTTTTTCAATTTTTACAAAGTACCTAGCTGGGATTTTGATAGGGATTGAACTGAGTCTGTGGATGAATTTGGGAACTCTAGCCATCTTAGTAGTGTTTAGTCTTCCAGTCCATGAACATAGGATGTCTTTCCATTTATTTAGATCTCTAATTTCTTTTAACAACTTTTGTAGTTTTCAGAGTTTAAGGTTTGTACTCTTTTTTGTTAATCTTACTCCCAAGTATTCTTTTGATCTTGTAAATTGTTCTCTCAATTTTATTTTTGGATTGTTCATTGTTAGTCTATAGAAATACAATTTATTTTTATATATTGATCTTGAAACTCACTAAACTTGTTTATTAGTTCTAATAATTTTTTTAGTGGAATCCTTAGAAATTTCTATAAAAGCTCATGTCATCTGCAAATAGAGATAGTTTTACTTCTTTCTTTCCAACCTGAATGTCTTTTATTTCATATTCTTCCCTTATTGACTTAGCTGGAACCTCCAGTACTATGCTGAATAAATGTGGTAAGAGTGGACATCCTTGTCTTGTTCCTCATCTTAGGGGAAACATTCAATCCTTCACCATTAAGTATGATGTTAGATATGGGGTTTTCATAGATGTCCATAATCAGGTTGAGGAAATCCTTTCTCTTTCTAGTTTGTCGAGTGTTTTTATCATGAAAGGGTGTTCAATTACCACATAGTTGGATTATAGGACAAGGGTGTTGGATTACCACATACCAAATACTTTCTTCTGTGTCTAACGAGATTATAAAATGTTTTTGTCCTTTATTCTATTGGTATGGTGTATTACATTAATTACTTTTCAGAAGTTAAACCAACCTTTTATTCTTGGGGTCAATTTCACTTGGTGATGATGTGTAATTCTTTTTATATATTACTGGGTCCAGTTTGCTAGTATTTTGTTGAATATTTTTACGTCTTATATTCCTAAGAAATAGTGGTCTGTAGTTTTCTTATGATGTCTTTGTCTGTTTGGGTATTAGGGTAATACTGGCATTGTAGAACCATTGGGAAGTGTTCCCTAGTGAACAAGTGGTATTATTTCTTCTTTAAATGTTTGGTAGAATTCACCAGTGAAGCCATCTAGGCTTGGGTTTCTTTTTGTGGGAAGTTTAAAAATTACTAATCCAATCTCTTGTTTTAACTTTACTCAGGTTTTCTATTTTGTCTTAGTTTTGGTGTAGTATGTGTTTTTCTAGGAATTCATCCGTTTCATCCAAGTTATCTAACTTGTTGGCATAGCATTGTTCATGGCACTCTCTTATAGTCATTACTTCTTGGGTAGTATTTTAATTCTCACCCGAGGACTTTTTATAAAAAATATAGTTGCTATTTCTTGGGTAGTATTTTACTAGTAATAGCGACTATACTACCTCGGGTAGTATTGCATTGGTAGTATTAGCCTCTCTTTCATTCCTGATTTTAGTAATTTGAGTATTTTCTCTTTTTCTCTTGGTTGGTCCAGATAAAGATTTGTTAATTTTGTTGATCTTTTCAAAGAACCAACTTTTTGGTTTTGTTGATTTTCTCTATTATTTTTTATTTTCTATATTTCATTAATTTCTGCTTTAGTCTTTATTTCTTTCCTTTTAGTTGCTTAAGGATTTGTTTGCTCTTCTTTTTCCAGTGTCTTTTATTGACTGATTGATCAATTTTAGAGAGAGAGGAAGGGAGAGAGAGAGAGAGAGAAACATCAATTTGTTGTTCCACTTATTTATGCATTCTTTGGTTGATTTTTTTTTTTTTACATATCTTTTTTTAAATTCAAATACTATTCTAATCTCTCATGGTCCAAGAACATTCAAATAATAAACCAAAATGAGACAGATGTTAAAGATTGGTCTTCAGTCATTAAAGCCATTGATGCCACGCTTGCTTGTGATCTCACTAACGTAAAACCACATCCACACCTCAGTGGCCACCAAACCATGCAGCAAAGCTTCCTTAGCTGTGAGCTGTCTGAAGCTAGCAGTTTGAGCACTGTTGACTTGCTTTTCACAAGCTCTGAATAACTGTGGGGATCTTAGCAGGGGTTGGAAGAATCTATTAAGCCTTGGGATAGTGTCAAAATGTGGCCACTTGAGGCGCT